TGTTTCTATACTGGGCTTACAGAAAGGGTAGAAGGTACTGCAAGGAGCTGAGTGCACAAGACGTTCACTTATAATGTGCAATTATTTATTTTTTTGATGTATAAATAGTACGATGTACGAGTCGCAAGCTATACCGCCATAGTACCGCCATAGTACCGTCAATCGTGAGTGAGTGAGTGAGTGAGTGAGTGAGTGAGAGAGTGAGCGTGTGTGTGTGTGTGTGTGTGTGTGTGTGTGTGTGTGTGTGTGTGTGTGTGTGTGTGTGTGTGTGTGAGAGAGAGAGAGAGAGAGAGAGAGAGAGAGAGAGTACAAGGGTGGAGAGGTGTATTCTTTTCGTCTGCAGCCTGTAAAGACCAGTAGGCCTAGATCTACCTAATTTATAAATGTGCCCATCTGGTTCACTGTCTTGTGACGATGGGCTCATTCGTAAATGTGAGGTAGCGTGGTGGAATCAGGCTCTCGTCAGTTTTTGGGCATGTAGAGTTATTGGTATCATCTTAAAGCTTTTTTACTGGTCTTTATATAGATGAAAAAAATATCCGTTTATCTTGAATACAAGTCGAGATATTTGTGAATGAAGGAGGTGGGGTTCGCCTACTTTCAGAGGTAAAATATGAGAGAAAATGGCCGCCAAAGATAAGCTATTTCCTTAGCTAAAGAGTCCGTGGTAAATAAAAATTTACATTTTGTATCAACGTTTTTCAGAAAAATCCTCACACAAATGAGTTCTTTAATGGATCTGAAAGGCGCTGAGACCAACAACAAAAAATTGATAAAAAATTCACAAACCTGCAGAAAAATGCAAGTTTCTTCACTTTGATTATTTTGACGAGAGCCCGATTCCACCATGTTGCCTCACAAATAAGTAAGGTTGTTTTCGAAAGTGAAAGTGACGTCGGTGGCCTAGTGGTTAGGCTACTGGACTCGTAGTCGTGAGGTCGCGGGTTCGTGGGTTCGAGCCTCGGGCCGACATTGTGTCCTTGGGAAAGGCACTTTACACGAATTTCCCTCACTTCACTCAGGTGGGAATGGGTACCCAGCTATTGACAGTGAAAGATCTTGTCAGTTCGGTAGTGTTTGAGCGCTTAACCAGCTGCTTGCACTGTATGCTTCCCGGGAAGCTGAGTATGTTTCTGAGTGTTCTATGGTCTGCTATGG